ATAATAATTTATTAAATTAAATAATTTTAAAAAATAAATATTTAATTATAAATAAATATATAAATATATTGTATTTATATATTTACATGGATATACATTTATTTGTATATAAATATAATTTATTTGTAAATTATTATCAAAAAATTCTAGTAGCATAGTGGTTGGAGTATTAGCCTCCAATTCTAAGGTATTGGATTCGAATTCCGCCAATGATAATTCTCTAAGAATGCAATAAATAATAAAAATATTTTCATCAGATTTTTGTTGTTACCGACGGATTTTGACCGTCGGTATTTCCAGTATTTCTTGTAGTGCATCTTTCTTGGAGGAACGCGTTAGGAGCTTGGCCTTTAGCAACATTGACAGCAGACTCTCATAGGAGGATGGAAAAGGAGTGAACTTCCTCTCTTGTTTGCGCGACTGCTTAGTTGGTTGTGAAGAGGAAGAAGGGGTAATGAGGTTGATGACATTTACGCTCCCCTCTTTCTTCGAGTATTTTCGACACGATGTATGTCGATTGCCTCCTTCACATTAAAGTTGTGTCCCTTTATAACCCTTAATCTCTCCTCTAAGATTGAGATTCGTTGCTTGGAAACCTCATTGTGGAGGCGTTGTAGGCACATTAACTCCATTAACTGCGTCATTTGTTCTTTTATGGCATTAAACTCAGAGGTGAACTTGCGTTTTGTTCCTGTAATTTCTCCATCCTATTAGCTTTTGCGCACGGGTGCGGACAGGAAGAATACCAACTACTTTCTAAATGATTTAAATATTTTTATTATGAATGATTAGTGTGGAATAGATATGTCTTAGACAATATCTGTGGTATCTTCTTAAAAGGCTATGCCTTAAGGAGTACCATACCCACTTTGGTGTGATGGTTCCCTTTTTATGAAGGTTACCAACATACCTTAGTGCACTTGTCCCTTCCAAGAAGGTTATAAACGCACTTGGGTCTCTTTTGCTTTTGTCTAAGGATATCTAGTGCCCCCTAGAATGAATATGTTTATGTATGCGAGATTTTATTAGGATGGTGCTTATGCATACTTTCCTTAATGCATTTATTTTCTCTCATAGTTTTACCACTTATGAAATGATGTAGTATGTATGACTTGACTTTGTCAAAAACTGTTTTATTGAGTTTTATTATTTTAACATAAATGTTTTGACTTTGTTAAAATGCGTTTTATTATTTTTTTTAAATGAAAGAATTTATAGATAAAGTTTGTTTATTATAAAAAATTTAGTTTTATAACCCCTTATATCTTTTGTAAGTCAACGTGCCTACTTAGCTTACAAAAAACCTGAAACCAGGTTAGCTTAAATGAAGACTATCCGAGATAAGGTTGTTTATTGCAAAAAATATTTTAAGATGTTATTTTATTTGTATTATATTTTTATTTGTTGTTCTATGATTATGCTATGCAAATGTGACAAACAAAATACAACAAACAAATGCACAAACAATTTACTCATCCACGAGCATAGCGATGTTTTAATCACGAGGTAGGGGTTTCCTGCAGAAAAGTGCATTGACAAAGGTATGTTCTAATTGTCCTCACCAAGGTCAGGTCCCCAAGGTGCCTCCATTATATGGACCCTTCAATCTCTCAGTCTTTGAACCATGCATGGCAAAAATGCTTTGTCGACGTTTTTAGTCCAAGAGAAGAAGGTTATCACCTTGAGTGGTGATTTTCAACAACGAATTGCTGGCACTATGACCATTACCATGGTCAGTCGTATATGCCACTCACTCCCTATGTGTATTCACTCTTGCCCCTAGGTATAGAGGGACTGTTGTGTGCAAGGGTTTATGTACAGTTTATATTTCAAACAATTGTAGAAAATAAACATACAACAATTATTAAAGCCAAACAGTAAAGCAAAGCAAGGATAGATGCATAATTTTAAGTCTACTATTTTTAGTTTATTCCATCACTAAATGGGATCAACTCTCTAGCTTCCCTAGTGGAGTCACCATCTATCGCCGTCACAAAAAGCGGTCGGAGCGATATGATGGTTTTGATGACTCGCGTTTGTTTTAAAAATATGGTCATCGCTCTTAGGGTGTCCGATAACCGAACTACCTTTAAGAATGAGGTTTTCGTAAATGGGTTCTGGAGTCGCCACCAATGTTTTTACCATAAACATTGAGAAAGGAAAAAAGAAGGCGTTGGTTTAAGAAAAACCAACTTTGACCATTATAATCAGAGTTAGGTAAGTGAGTTAGTTACGTGTGGGAAAAGTATTAGTACCCCCACAATGCCCCTTTCGGGTTCCCTATGATGGAATATTCTTAAAATAAAGTCAATAAAATTATGCTTCTACCTTATTTATTATGTGATATTAAAAATGATTATCTACATGATCCTATTTTCTACTGTACATAGGAAAGCAATAAATAAAGCAATAAAAGAAGAGAATAATGAAAAGAACATCTGAAGCAAGCTTTATTACAAATCTTCAACTCTGAGGATGTTTTTGGCTATCCCCTCGCACTACAGGAACTCTCATCTCCCGAATACAAGAAAAACTTTAAATTATCGAATGTCGGATATCTCAAAAAGAGAATTCCTTAACTGATTGTTACCTTATAGACAATCAGAAAGATCATTCGAGTACTAGAAGTATAGAGAGAAGTGACTATGAGTCAAGGTGTCTGGAAAAGCTGCAAATGAGACTGCTATTTATAATTTTCGCAGTGTCAGGATGCCGGGACGACCATCTGGACATTCGGAACGGGCGTCCCAAGTGCAAAAATGGGTTGGGACAGTTGTCCCAATGTGCAAAATTTGCTGGGATGCGTGTTTGGCCTTTGGGACGTGCTTCTCAGTGCTGAAAACTCATTTGGGACGGCCATCTGGAATGTGGGACAATCATTCCAAGTGTTTCTTCATATTTTCACTTTTTATTTCTTCAGAAAAACTCTCCTTTCCTTGGACGGAAGCCAGTTGATGATGATAAGTGCCCAACGAAGCTTTACCCATCTTTAGAATGAAAGTCTTCTGATCTTTATTGAGAAACCAGACAAGATTTGGGGTCTACGATATATATGCTATTATTCCATATTTTATTGCTTCCACTAATTTAAACATGATAAAATTTTGCGTAGTTTCTTTGACATCCTTGCCTCGATGACTTCAATTACAATGTCTTTCAATTTAACCACAATCATGATAACGTCCATTGCAATTTGATTAAGACGTCTTTGTTGTGGGCTAAATTAATGGATCTTTCTATTGTTTCGACTATACATCTTTCAAGTGACCTCAACTTAATCAATCTTTAGGAAATCTTTCAGTTGACTTCAATTATAATATGAATTCAATCAGAACATCTTTATGGACCTCGACTAAAGCTTCTTTAACCCAATCTTTATACATACGTTTACAAAGTATCTTGAACTTGCCTTCTTAAACTAGGTTTTTATCAATATATCTTTAACTTTGTTTTGATCAAAATATATTCAACTAAATGCTAGTCAGCGTATGTATAATTCGGCCTCAACCAAAGTATTTTCTATTCGATTTTAACCAAAGTATTAAAAAAGCACATCAAACTATATAATTTAAGACCCATGTACCAGCCTTAGTTCAGAGGAAAATATTGTTTTTCTATATTTTAATTCTTAAAAGTTGGCTACATCATGATGCTAGCCTAAACCCACTAGCCCAAAGGGCTTTTTAGCATTACGAGACATTTATAAATGTGGCCCATCAGATCTTATGGGCTGGGCCATAAACAATATGAGAGTGACAACTTCTTCCAACATCTCATACTTTTTTCCTGCACCGTGTATTCGTCTAAAAAGATAATAATTTTACTCTTCCCAAAACTTTTCAGAAAGAGTTTTTCAAAATATTTCAAATTGACATTTTTGAAAATTTTCCGAAAGCGTTCTACAATCAAATTTTTAAAAATATTCTGAAAATTTTATTTCAGAATATTTTCAAAAAGATTTTTAAAGATCAATATATAATATTTTCAAAAAAATTTCAGAGAATTAGATCTAGATTAATAATCTATTTTTTAGGTTCAGGATAAATCGATCTAGAATATATGAAATATATTTTTAAGTTCTATGATGAATCCGAAAAAGTTCCAAATTAATAAATCCAAAAGTGTTATAAAAAACTTCCGATTAGTAAATCTAAAAGTTTTCCAAATTAGTAAATCTGAAAGTTTTGATCCACAATAACGGTTGGAAAACACAAATAAGCTTTCGATATATTAATCCAATAAATTTTCGGATGGATGCTATCAAGTGATTCTTGCAAATCTATGACACTTGTTGCCTCATCTAGAAATAGTTATGGTTCTTGCAATCGCTATTCTCTGTTTTTGCCTTCTTAGTAGTTCAATTTTTTCTCTCACAACCTCATAGAGTATTTGAATCAAGACAACCACGGTTGATTTTCCACATCCACTTTTTTCAACCAGGCCAACACTTTTGCTTGACTCTACCTTCAAGCAAAACTTACTCAAGATTGGTGTCCCTACCGTGCAGTGCAAAAGAAGAAAGGAGGTGTATCACCATGAAGTTAAAAATATATAAGAAAATATAGAAGACATTTTTAACATTTTACACAGGTTACGATGATACAAGAAGAAAATATGGGAGTGCAGGACACATTTGCCTATATCAACTCTACGAGGAACAACAAGAGTAATTCTTACCAAGGAGAAGAGTTAGAAAAATAGGTGGTTAAACAATTTGATATTCTTATATTAACAAGCATAAAATTGCAAGTTTATGAGTCATGTTATAAATCTATCTAACTAAGAAATGTTATAACACAAAAAGTATTGGAGTGGGGTAACGAATTTATACCCAAAAATCCCTCTTAAAAGTCCATATAGACATGTAACAAGACCAGATCCTAAATGACTGGACCGTTGTAATATACCCCACCCCTAAAATATTGCAGATGGTGTTCTACGACTTTAATTTGCGCTGTAAAACTTTTCCATACTTACAAATTGCAACAGAACAGAACCAGTCATACTCCCTGCAGAGTCAGTGTTTCATTCTCTGAGATTCTTGGACCAGATCTTGTCACCTTAACACGAAATGAAACCTGCACATATAACTGGGATGCTCAGGCATCATAACTAATGCACCATTCAAAACAAAATTGCACATTTTCAGGCATGAGCAGAAACATTTGTTTCACAAAAATGAGAAGGGAAATGTGGAGCGTCACTTGAATCATTTCTGTGCACATCTCCCTCAAGTATTCAAATAAAAGTACAAACTCAAATTTTAGCATTGAATAAAAAATGAAATTAATCAATAGTTTTATTTTAAACAGTTAAGTGTGAGATGAAGTGTGAGTAAGTAACCCTACTCAATGAGATTGAGCCATCCAACTATTAATGTCCATTTCTTATAGGCTGTGAATGAAACTAGTCATCAGTCAATCAAACAAATGTGGAGTCTTTCTGATATGTAGATTAATGGTATCTCATATACCTATAAGTTTAGAAGATGCAAATGTGTAATATGAAAACTGCAACTCTTTTTTAGAGCCTCTCATCTCACCTTCTCAGAACCAAACTGAATAACATCAGATGGGCGAATGCGAGCAGGATAATTAGGAGGTACCCGGTACTGCTTTCCTTCATTGCTGAAAACATAACGAGAATGTTAAACAAATTTGTCAAGAATTTAAAACCCTTTAAGTAAAACAAAGTATTTTTCATTTCTTTTACTTACTCAACGATCCAGGTGCCATGTTCACTCCGCAAATCGATCAAGAAGAAGGCACCATCCTTATAGTTAATTCGAGCATGCCTTGGAGAAACCTTAAAACAGAGAAATTGTTGATTATGTTACATGATGTTGAAGAGCATAAAGTGACGCGTTTCATTCAGGTCATGATAAATTGTTACCTGAGGTGAAGGTATTGTAACTGAAGTGCCAGGATGATCTTGCATAGGTGCACTCCTGCAATTACAAAAGAAAATAAGTTGAAAGTTAAAATTAGTATTTTTTTTCCCTAATAATTAGGAACGGAACTGCACAACACTAATTGGTGAAAAAAAATTAAGATCACGGTTCATGTTTCCAAGGATACTTCCAAATTCAGTTCCAGTTACAGGTAAAATATAGGAACTATTGGTCATTGCATTGTAAGTATGTGCAGAAATAGGCATACCCGACCATGAAGGGCTTCATCTCATTTCGATTTAAAACTATAGGCTTTGAAAGACTTGTTCTATCTCCATGTGGTAATAAAATCCACCTAACCGAAACAATAACAATGGACCAAAAGTTATCTGATCTACATTTGCTGCAAGATATGTAAGGGATGATACTTTAGATATTTGGCCAAAGACATACTCCCCATTAGTAGCACGCTCAAGGGCTTCATCATCTTCAAACCATAGGCGTAACTGATCATTTGCCTTCATAAATAATAAAATGGCTATTAACATCCAGATCACAGCAAATCAGATAGATGTGAACATACAAATTACCAGATATACAATATCTTCTCAGCAACAAAGTACAAAAGTAACTCTATTTGAGCAACATACTTTGTCTGAGAGCCTGCAACTTAGTGGTCTACCCTCAAGTTTGGAGCTGTAAAAGTAAGCATCATTTTTCACGTGTAAGCAATGAAACTGCACAACTTTACATATGAGCATATATAACATTTCTGTCTATTGGTCACTGAATATTGTTTTCAATATAATCAGTTTCTTGAAACTTCTCATCATGTATCCATTGGTACACATTTCTAACAGCATGTTGAACGAGAGTAGCAGAGTATGAAAAATGAAGAAAGTCTATCAGCAAAGAAAAATGGGGTCTAAACATTACCTATTGCCACCTAAGACCCAGCTCAACATAAAAGGCATCATGATGTCAACAAAAAACCTTCCTCCAACTCTTCCAGGATGTGGTATGCGAAACTTGGTCAAAAACTGCAGTGTAAGAGAAGCAACATGGAAGTGTCAACTTGGCTACATTTTTCATTCTCTTATTGATAAAAATTGAGTTCTTACTTCTAAAGGGCCAAGCCCAACACCCAGGTATGCCTTGTAAGTGGAAGCCATGAGAGCGGCCATTCTAGCCATTCCATGAATAATGGCAACTCGTAGTCTTCTTTCTCTCTCGTAGCTGGAAGTATTAATAGAAAACAGAGAAAAGAGATGGGCACCATTAAACACCAAAGAGATTTATCATCAAGTTACCAATTTGAAAATGATTAAACACTAACTATTGGACCATCCATGATTGAAATGAGAATCTGTCTTTCTGTTCAAATCAAGTCATTAATCAATTTATATCATCATTCGTTTTTGCATATATGCAAAATGGTATGTTACCTCCTTAGGGAAGAATCGACGTCAATTGGACTCCCTGATTTAATACTTTGTTCCCATGCATTGTCCAATTCCAATGCAAGTTGATAACTATCCTGAAATGATAAAGCAAGCTTGTTAGAAAGGGTCTTTGCCTCCACTTTTCATGTGTTTCTTTGTGTACCAGTCCTCTTTGGAGGCCCAGACGGAAGTTGAGATTGTATGACATTGTATATCTCCATCTCCTCTTGAAGTATGAAATATTTTAATTTTATGCATGTTTCTGTGAATAGTATGCATATATCATCAGAGGCATGAAATAAAATAACCCTCGCCAACGTAAAGTGAGAATCTTTTAGTGCAAATTTGGACAAGTACACAGCATAGTAAACGAACCAATGCAAAAGACTAGGAGGATTTACTAGTCATTGTAGAAAATAATCTTGCATTATTTTGATGAAAAATTGATACTAACTCAATCATAAATGAAGTTTATGATAAGAAATAACATTTATAAAGTATTATATTTAAACTAAGAATTTTCATTTATCTTGTACAATTCTCCATCCCCATATTAGTCAGTTCCTCCACCAATTCCTAGTCTGAATAAGTAGGAAATTGATGAAACTAATCTAGAACCTATAATAATTTCATATTTCATTTGAGATAGGATGAAATAGACAAAGGCCTGTTTTGATATAAACTAAAAGAGCTTTTTCAAGTTTCTCAAATGGAAATATAGAGCTTTTTCACTATAGAAACACCCGAAAGTTCTTATAACCTGTATCCAAACACTAAAATACCAAATAAAAGGAATAAATATATTACCTCAATGGCCATGCACCCTCCTTGGCCCATATTTGGCTGCATGGCATGGACGGAATCACCAAGTAAAGTCACACGACCCTTTCCCCATGTTAATGTTGGTATCCTGTCATATATGTCTCGTCTTAGAATTTCATTTTCTTCTGTGGCAAGTATCAGATCTACAGCATTATCACACCAACCCTCAAATATCTTAAGCAGCCTTTGCTTTTTTCCTGCCATGAAGAAAGAAAATTATTTAACTGATTTTACCCGTAGAAAAGACACACCTCTATTAATATATTTTCAAAGTCATCCGTTTTCTGCATAGTGCGTTTCCAATTGGTCTTTCAAGGGGGATTTACAGTAATACCATTCTCAACTCAAAACCTGTTATGGGTCATGTGAGACTTAGAATCACACTTGGAGACCAACACCAATAAGACATGAGCCTAACCCACATAAGGATTGACACCACTCTCAACCCAAAACCTTAAGGCATTAGGTTATGGGTCATACTTCCTTATATGTTACTAAACTTTCACATTCTTACTCAATGTGAAACTTAACTCACACTTGAATTACTCAACAATAGACCGCACTCAATTTGATTAGCAATGATTGTCATGATATAAATAAATAACCCATTCCATGTTAAGAAATGGATGAAGATTCCGTAATAGACAATGAGTAATAGACAATGAGTAAGACAGAATGGACGAGAGTAGCATATTGGTCCATCTTTAAGAGGTAATAAATATGGTGTTACCAACTATTATGGATGAATATAAATCGGATAGATTGCTCTTAAAATATCTAAGATATGATATGTGGAGGTGGAAGACACACGTATAGGTGTGTATAAAATTTATTAACATAATACATATATCATTGTAACTCCACAAATTCAAACTAAGAGCACAGTTTTGAACATTACTATAGACAAAATACAATCTGAATTATAATCATCATATATTACATCCTACTGCCTACAAACAAGAATAATTTCAAATCTCATTTCTTCCTAAAGAAGACACCTTCCATGCCTGGTTCAACAAAGAGACTATGCTATATGTTTCACCCAATAGACGCAATACAAAGAAACAAAAAATGTGTGACCCACTTTAAAATTGTGATTTGATGAAGTTAATGAGGTCCAACACTGGATACTAATTTGATACTAGTGAAGTGCTCAAGAGTATCAATATTAGATACAAATCCAATCCCAATTCATGAAACAAATGCAAGTATTGGTGTTTCATAGGTGTGAAGCATGCTTTCTTATGCTTAGAATATAATGCCATGAGCAGTTTTTTCTGCCTTGCTTTTTCCTTTCTTATATATTACACCGATTGTTCACTATTTGAGAAACTAGTGGCAAGCAACATAATAAATAATCACTGATCCTCAGCATAGAAACGATCTTAGCACATATCACGCAGAAAGTTTAATCTCAATTACATAGAAAATGCATACCATTGGGGCCATCAACACCACCAGGAGGTTCTTTGTGAAATGCATACCATTGCATCTTTCCAGCACCAACATCTGAAGATACAAAGTATTGTTTGTGTCCCAAGAATACTCGGTATCTTCCAGCAAAATCTTCAAGTAAGCTTCTCAGCTCAATATAAATACATTACAACAAATGAATAATGATCAACATACCCAACAGTTTCAATGTCAGCAGGCACAAAATCTGCAATGCCAGTATAACAAGTATAGCCAGAGTAAACAGCTTCTTTGGGCCCAAATAATTGCTTCCTCACCTATACATAAAAAAAACTACAATAATATTAAATGCAGAATTTATAATTTGTATGAACCGCTTACATACAGAATGACTAAAAGAATTCACTAGTTCTCAATGAATATGAGTTCCACTGTACTTGTCATGTTTATTTATGACGTTTACTTTCATATGGGAAAAATTATTTGCTAAAGAATAAGATCATAATCAGATAAGAATTAATAAGACCTTGGACCATATGCCATCGGCTCCAACCAAGATATCTCCTTCATATTTCTGACCATTCTCAAGTTCTACTGTGACCTGAAATTGTGGAATGCTGGGATGAGAAAGTAGTAAATGTCAATCAAATGATGTTTTAATCATATTAGTCTGCCAATGCATATTCAGTAAGAAAGAAATAAGAGCGTCAGAAAATGTATATCATATAGATAACAATATGAGGAGAATCTTGAACAAGCTTTCTTAAATTACCTTGCTTCCATCATCCACAAAATTAACAACATTACTAGCATTCATAATGACATCTTCCCCAACTGCCCGAGCAAGGATCTCTTGTAAAACCATTCGACTAATAACTCTTGTGACTGGAAGCCCACGTTCCACAGCAGGAGTGAATGTATCAAACTTGACGTACCTGAAGACCAACTATATATCAATTCAGGGCACCAAATGCTGTAAAATTTCTTAAAGAAAATTGCAGAAAGAATTTTTTTTCTTAACTTGATAGTAAGGAACAAAATTGTTGTTTGTGAAAGAAAGGCAAATTACTTTATCAGAACTCTCCTTATGTTTGCCAGAATAGAAGTAAGGTAATTACATGCTTAATTGAGTTCGACAGCATCTTATTACGCCCCTGAGCTACCCCAACTTTAAAATGAAGGATTTACCCGCTAAGTAAGGTAATCAATCTCATTTTCGAAAAAGGATGCTAATAGACTTATTAGGTAGGAGTACTGACACAAACACAGTTAAATATCTAAATTTGCATTGCAGTTGAGTTTGACACCCTACGGCTGCTGTTGTTAGATTTCACTTTTTTTTTTGCAACGGTCATGATATAATATTTGTGCACTCAAAGTTCTAAATTGATATCAATACAATTTTTTTCCCGTAACCATGGTTTTTTTTATCAATTAGTTTTCCTAATAAAGTTTTTTTTTTAGCCCGGCAATATTTTGATAAATAATGATATACTTTTTGTTTGCTTTCACTAGTTATTCAACAAGCTTTTTACACATTCTTAAGTAATGAACATGCAAGAAGAGTATTCAAAATACAATTTTGTAAATGTATCATCTGTTAGATTTGAATTGATCCTTTCTGATAAGGATATGACTTAGTTGGTCTCCTTCAATAAGGACATGACAGAAGATTTTAACCAAACATGATGATAATATCAACTTTCAAGCCATCATACCGATCATTTGTGGCAAATAGGTTTCAACCACTATCTATCCCAATGTTGCCAAAATGTTGCCTTAACTAATTAGTTTGTAAGAGTCCTGCTCCAACACCTTAAATGCCTATCCATTCTCCATTTAACATTTATTAAGATTAAACCAATCAGTATGAGAATCTCTGTTGCATGGTTAAGGATAGAACAAGAAGATAAGAAAGACACTTAAATCACTAATTCAATACAAATATGAACACACTTAACCTTTTCACTTACCAAGAACCAGAAACCCCATCTACAAGTCCGTTGATTCTATCACCTGTGATGCAACCAGATCTCATAACTTCCTCTGCAACCTCTGAGTCTATAGCTTCCAAAGCAGCCAGAGCATTGCTCTGAATCTGAATTGGACCCCTATACTGTCCCTCCCCTCTTATAGCACTCATGTCCTTCTCAAACACAACCACCTCAAACCCTTTTCTCTTTGCAGCCAAAGCAAAAACCAACCCTCCAATCCCCCCACCAGCAACAAGTACCCGAAGACTCTTCTTCGAAGGGGCCCCACTGCCATCTTGAGATGAGGGTGAAACACTTGGTGGAGCCTCTACCACTGCACCTTTCACATACATCACTTTTCTCCTCTGCTTCCTGGTTCTGCATCCCAGGGAACACTTATAGCCAACAAGAGGTGAAGCATCCAGTGGAAGCTCTTTATTCGCGGGAACTGAGAAGTGGGTTCTTGAGAAAGCAGTTGTTGAAGGGTTAAGAGAATTGTAACACAAAGTAGAAGCCATGGTTGTTGGTGTGTGTGTGTGTGTGTGTGAATGTTTGTGTGGCTCAAAGACTCAAAAACTGAAATATTAATTTGCATTAATCAAGTGAAGTTATATTTATATGATTACAGGTTGAAGTTTTGACAATGCATGGCACTAACAAAATCTACTGATGAATAAACAAGGGCAATAGAATCAGTGGTTTAAAGTTAATGGCTAGAAAATTCAGAAGAATGAAGACGTTGAGAATAGACGTAAGCTTTTAACGTTTGAGAAGTGAATTCAGTGGTTGCTAGTGTTGGGTGACTGTGACAGACACATTAATTGTGGTTATAGATGGTAGTGGTGTGTATGTTGTATGGTCGCCCACGTATGAACAATCTGAAGCAGGATTCAGACCCACAGCGTGATCAAAATATCCAATTTTATTGGCTTCTGCTTCCTCTGTGGATAAGGACGTATATTATCCCATTCTTTTAGCTTTTTTTAAAAAAGGAAAATAAAAAATCATTGTAACCTATTTCGTTAAGCTTTCTAACAACTCATAACCCAAACTTAAGAACTTTTTATATTTAATTTACTTAACAAGAATTTCCTGTCTAATCATTAAAATAAATGCTTATATTATGAGTATTGACACTTATTTTTAGACGATCATTATCACTGAGTAATTTTTTTATATATACATACTTAACATTTTATATTTTTACACGTACAAACAAAATTTGATAATTTATTAAACTTTTCTTAATGGTACATTCTCCTTTTCTTTTTATATTTATTTTTTAATTACTTGATCACAAATAACTCAATAGTAAAAAAATTAATTATTTTTTTCAAAAAGTCATGTTTTAAAATAATTTAAAATATATTTAAGATTTTTTAATTATAATATAATTTATTTTACATCTAAATAAGATACATATTTTGAATAAAATAAATCATTGAATATTTTAAATCATTTTAGACTGAGATAAATATTTTAAAATTATAGATAATTTTTTTAATTAATTGGAGAATAGATTTAGTGATTAAAAATGTTGTTTAATTATATTAGTTAATAATATTAATTTTTTAATATTTTTTTGTAAATTTTAATTATATAATAATCATTTTTTAAAATTATGATGATATTATGATTTATTTTATGATACATTAATTTATTAATAATAATTTTAATTATTTTCAAGTTTCTAAATTTTAATTTTCATTAACATTATAAATAGTTTTTCATACCGTTGATAATATGAAAAAAAATCTTAGAATTAAATTTAAATTTGAAAGCTAATTATTTAATATTAATTATATTTATATTTTGTATCATAAAGGACTATCATTTAAATAATTAAATATATTATTTATAATTTTTTAAATATTTATCTCAGTTTAAAATAACAAAAAATATATTTAAAATTTTTTATTCAAAATATTTATATTATTTTTATAGATTATATTATATTATTAGTCAAAATAAATCTTTGAATATGTTTAAATTATTTTAAAATATAATATAAAAAACAATTATTTTTTATTTTTTAGTCTCACTGGTTAAGAAGTAATTAAAGAAAGGTTTAAAAAAAATATAAGAAAAAATTAATTGAGGATTTATCAAATTTTGAATGATTGTAAATATCAAGTGTCTTGTCATTTAGTATAAGAAGTTTTTTTATTCCACCAAATTATATCATGAGAAAATCCTAATATTTATTCCGTGACAAAGAAAAACAAAAAGTATAGTGAAAGAATAAAAGAGATAAAATAAAATAAAAATTATATTTTATTTATTTATTTTTAAAAAATAATAATACGAAAAAGAAAAAAAAATCCATTTAAAAATAAATAAAAAAATTACTAACTTATACATTTATAAACAATTTATCTTTAGAAAATAATTAAAAGAAGTTTAATAAAAAAATAAAAATTATAAACATATTTTTAAAATTTAAATTATATTAATAAAATATTATTATTTTATAAGTGATAAAGTGATTGATCTTCCAAATATAATTTCATTCATTTAAGTACTGATCATAAATAAATATAGTGTACTGTTTATGAGGTATTATGTGTTTTGAAACTTCACGTTCGTCAAGGTGGACGATACTTGTTCAGCTCATATCCATTATAACAACATTTTTTATGATTAATTCTTATATCCAAGATATTGTTTGCGTTGGTGCTTTTGTCCTTAAAAGATGTCTCGATCGGTTTAGAATATATATATATATATATATATATATATATATATATATATATATATATATATTATCTTTGACATTAATTTCTAAGTGATATGAGACTCATGAGCGTACCAGGAAAAAAGTTCCCTAGTCAAGACTAATGAGTATGAGTGAAGCTAAGGATGACAAAACATGACAGACTCACATAGGTCAGCTTGCTAGCCCGCTATAAATATGGCGGGGTAAGTTAGTACCTTTAGTCCGCCAATCTTTTTTGCACAGCCCTACTAAGCCTACCAGCTCGTCAGGCCAACCCGTAACCCGCTTTACTAATAATTTTTTTAATGTGATACAGTGAGTAAGAAAGATAACATATAATATAAAAATTTGTGAAAAGAAAATTCTAAAAGTCTTATTGTTTCACTAAAAATTTAAAAAGTCCCATTCATTTTTTCACACTAAGAAAATTCAAAAATTACTAGTATCTCACTACTAAGAGAATTCAAAAAATCTCATTCTCACTTATACCACTAAAACATAATCTACTTTTTACATCGAACTTTCTACATCTGTTCTTTAAGAACCGATGTAGAAAGTGACACTGTGACAATTTTAAATTTTTTTAAGACTTTCTAAATCGGTCATCCGGAACCGATGTGGAAAGTCTTTTTATTTAAAAAAATAATTAATAAAAATTTTAAACAGACTTTCTACATCTGTCTCCCTTACAGGCTCGCCTCCCCCCCTGAGAATCTCCATTTTCACTTGTTCTTCCCTTGCTCCTCATTTTCAACAATTACCATAACCCAACCTTCCAAATCCATTCTCATGCCCCTTTACCGCACCACATCAATTGCCCACCACAAGCTAGTCATGCCCAGCTCAACCATCGGAACCCAATTTCGCCATTTCCAGCTATCTTCACACCAAAACCTTCTTCGCCTACTCCCCGCCCCCATCGTAGTCGCGAAAACCATCGTCTCTCCAATCTCCTTCCCCAATCGAATGTCTAACCTTTGTTTCCCATCACTCATCCTCGCGTCCCTCACTCTGCGAACTAAAGCGTAACGAATCAACCTCCATCGTCCAAGTTGGAAATATACTGCACCCTTAATCATAATTAGATTAATTTATAATAATTTGTTAAATTAAATAATTTTAAAAAATAATTTTAAAAATAAATATTTAAGTATTTTTAATATTGAAAAAATTATTTTAATATAAGAATTTTAATTAAATAATAGAAGAAAAAAAGATAAAAAGAATAAATTAAAATAAAATAAAAAGAAAAAATTTATTTTATATCATTATATAAATAAATTATAAAGATTATATTACGTCATTAAATTTTGAAAACAGACTCGACACATACTTTCACCCTCAAGCGCGTCCTCACATCCAACATATAAATATATAACTATATAAATATATAAATATATTTGTATTTATATATTTTATATTTATATATTTACACGAATATACATTTATTTATATATAAATATAATTTACTTGTAAGTTATTATCAGTAAATCTTAGTAGGCTAGTAATTGGAGTATCAGTCTCCTAATATGGTAATAATTCAAATTTCTAAAAAATGTAATAAATAAAAATAATATAATATAAACTTGTAATTTGTCATGAGCGATTTCTAAAAAATGTAATAAATAATATAAATATAATATAAACTTGTAGTTTGTCACGAGCGATTTCTACAAAATATAATAAATAATATAAATATAATATAAACTTGTAGTTTGTCACGAGCGAGACAGACCAAAATAGAGTGGGTTGACTCGTTTTGACACTTGTAAGTGGAGCAAGATTATGCTTTGCACTATGTGTGATATTTACAATTTTTTTATTAAAATGAATTTTTTATAATCATGAGTGGATAAATTATTATTTTTTTCTTTTATGGATAGAATTATAACAACCTACGAAGGAAATTACCTCTTTTATTATAGCCAATAATTTTCTTTTCTCTTACTTACAGTGCATTTATTTAACTTAGGAGATTATCATGGTCTTTAAAGTTGTTGAGCTAAAGGAATTTTATAAGATAGCATTCTTGTCACTGTTACATTATGTTTATATTTATTTATTTTATTTGTTTGGTGAGTCAGGATAAGATAACTTAACCCACCACCTCCCAATCACCAATGTTAGTAGGTTGTTAATAAGTTCAATCATTGACAGGTTAAGCAAACCAGTTTGATTGATTTGTTTTTTAAAACTACTGAAACGAGGCTTCTAGAAACCCCAAGTCTTAAAAAGGACAAAATGAGAGGAAATGCAATAAGATTTTAAAAATGAAAGCACGGAAGAAAATTATCTCAATGCATTTATAAACAAAGACAATTGGAGGCACAACAATCATCCCTGAAAATAATGAACAAATCCAATGAGTGTGACAAAGAAGGTAAATATATTCTAACACCTTAATAAAATAGAATCCACTTATGTGTTCCGATTTAGATTTGAATTGATCAAACTTACATAAGAACCTTTTGACGTATATTATGGCACTTGGTGAAACAAATCCCGACGCTTAGTTGTTCTTGTTGGTCAAAGAAAGTGGGCAAGGGTGACTGCAATTGGTCAAAGAAAGTGGGCAAGGGTGGCTGCCAAATTTTTTATGTAACCATGAGGTGCTCATGGGACATATTTTAATGTAATGCACAGTGCCAATTTTTTTGCTATAAATTGGTCTTCTCCCTGCAAGCAAATGTATCCCATCCCACACAAAATACTACTTCTCTTAGAGAAGAAAGAGTGGCACCGATGAGAGGCGGAAAAACTAGAGAGTTTTAGTTTAGCTTACGGGTGTAATTGGGTTGTGAG